CACACACACACACACACACACACACATACTCCCCCAGGAATTGTATGAGGCGTTTGCTCAAGAAGCGGAGGACACCGGCAGAGACAAACTGTTGCTGACCATCGCCACAGCCTCAGGCACGTACTACATCAACCAGAGCTATGAGCCCGAGAAGATCATCAAGTGAGTTGGTGGGATGGTGGGCGTGCTGGGATGGTGGGTTGGTGGGATGTTGGGTTGGTGGCGTAGTGGGGTTGTGGGGTGGTGAAATGGTGAATTGATGGATTGTTGACATGACGACTTGGTGGGTTAGTAGATCGGTTGGTTGATGGGTGAGTGGGTGGGTGGATGAGTGGGTTAGTGGGTAGGTGGGTTGGCGGATTGATGAAGCAGCTAGGCTCTCGTTTGGTTATACCTTAGCGCACTTGCTAAATCAATCAGAGCTCTCTGTGTACGAAGGCTGGCAGAATGTGACTCCCCTTGAGAGAAAGCTCTTTGGCAGTCTCTCAGATTTGAAGCGGACTGCACAGTTTGTGCGCGACATCGGACTGACTGTCAAGCTGCTGTCATCGAGAACGAGGAAGAAGAAGGGGGAAGATGAGTGGGTTTGTGGGCAGGTGGGTTGGCGGATGGATGAAGCAGCTTGGCCCTCGTTTGGTTATACCTCAGCGCACTTGCTAAATCAGTCAGAGCTCTCTGCCGGAGCTGACTATACCAAGTGAGTTAGTGAGTGAGTTACTTTATGAGTGGGGTGGTGTGTTTGTGGGTTTGTGGGTTGATGGTGCGGTTAGGTCGTTGTTTGGTTCTAACTTTGGGTACTTACTGCATACCACAGTGCTATGAGCCAGAGAAGATAACAAAGTGAGTTGCTGACTTGATGGGTAGGTCGGTTAGCTGGTTGATGGAGCAGTTACGTTGTTGTTTGGTTCTAGCTTTCCGCACATACTGCATCAATCAGAGAAATTATATGTCAAATGAGATGTTAGGCTGGTGGGTTACTGGGTAGGTGGGTTAATAGAGGTGTGGGTTAGAGAGTTAATGAAACAGTTGCTTGGATTGGCTAAGAAATCTGGTACAGTTCTTTCAATAATTGTTTGGTCATAGATCGTGCCTAACTGGCAAAAATAAAGGCAAATTAAAGGCAAACGAGGCAGGGGAAGGCCAGAGCAACCTACTAAGAGAACCTGAACAGCAGATGGGTAACGAGGAAAGATCAGGATAACGTATGTAGCTTTTTAAAAACATCTAAGCAAATGAATGAATGGAGAGCCATGATCACCGTTGTCTGCCACGGATCTGGCACTTGATGATGATGATGATGATCTTTCAGCTGTCCCTTATTTCTCCTCCTTCTTTTTCTTTGTATTTTGCTCTGTAGTGTCACCTCTAGTCCGCGACATTTACAAACTTACATGACACATTTATTTTGCAGATGCCGAAAAACTTTTACAAAACCTTCTTGTCTTTAAAAAAAATAAAAGCTGATGTGTTAACCATTGTGGTAATGTCCCTAACCCGTCCTTGTCCTTTTCTTTGTACATTACGCTGTGGTAACACCTCTCTTTTTCGGTACATGAAGTTATACATGATCTATTGTTCTGTTGCCAGTCCCGTAAAAAATGTACTAAAATTTAAGAAACAGCAACAACAACAATAACAACAACAACAACAACAACTACAACAACAACAATAACAACAATAATTTACTTTATTGTGCTTTTTTCCGCCGCTTATACTCTTTTGGGTGTCGCAGGAAGAAAGAGACGCCTCTCTGTCAGTCCGTTTCTTTCTTCTATTAGTTTCTGTAGCAATAAATAACAACAACAACAACAACAACAACAACAACAACAGCAGCAACATCATCATCAACAGCAACAACAACAACAACAACAATAACAGAAGCAACAACTACAATAACAACAACAACAGCAACAACAACATAATCACCAACAACAACAATAACAACCATCCCTTTTATCACCAGCTACCTGGACTTCATGCTGCTGATGACGTACAACTACCACGGCCAGTGGGAGAAGAAGACTGGACACCACAGCGGCCTCTGGTCACACCCTAATGACCCGCAGTGGGGGGAGAAGGCGCAGCTGTATCAGGTGAGCTCACTCACGGGGGCTCACACGCGCATACATGTCTACACTCATACATACAGGCAGATAGACAGACAGACAGACAGACAAACAGACACATATACACACAGAGATACTTACACGTTGAGACACTAATACACACTAACACTCAGACACATACACACACATACACACGCGCAGACACATGCACGCATACATATGTGCATGCACATAAAACACTTAATACACCTAATATGCACATAGACACATACTTGTGAGCAAAAACGCAAATTTACTTACACATGCACTCAGATGGAGTTATATATGC